AATGAAGTTCTCTTCTCACTATGAATGCCCTGTTCACACTATCTTACAAGTATCAGACACTTCTTTCTTTGCTGTTGTCCCAAGCAATACAGCATGACCCAAGAAATCTAAAATATTTGAAGTTAGAAAACAAATTTAGTTTTTCACCACAAAGTTCTGCCATAAAAATACATGCTTTTCTATGTTCCCATTTGGAAAAAAAACCTGTCATTATCGAAAAATAACTAACTATCATTATTTCTGATAAGGTAATCACATATTACTGGAGTTGCAACTACCATTTTCAGCAAGATTGCTTTACAATCTCTAAAGTAAAATAATGTACAGCATAACAAAAAAATCCCTGAATTTTATGAAATTTCTTTACATATTATGAACATTTTTTTTGTTTTAAAGTAATCCACAGAAGTGCTGTGTTCTCTACAGACTGATCTTCTATTCGTTAATCTCAGTTACGTAATACCTGTACAGTGTTCAATGCAAAGACTGTACTGCAGGAATAAATTAAACCAAAACCCAGGTCAGGTCCCAGCTGATAAATAATAATAAGCAGAAGCTCAGTACCTAGAGAGTTGCAGCGTTCAATCTGGTTGGAAACAGGCTGTAGCGAGGCAAACCTGGAATCTGGCCTGCAGCTTTTGAGTTTAACAAAAAGAGCTTTTTTTGGAGCACAAGTGAAGTATCGAGTCCCTTTAAATGTTCCATCCGTACAACCCGCACATTCATCTTCCTGAAAATTCAAGTGAGAATTCACTATTATCTCTAGAAATCTGCAGTAAAACATTCAACAAAATATCTACCCATAAGTCACCCTTCAAGTACCCTGAAGCTTGATAAACAACATTCCTGTATTTTAGTACACAAAGCTTCAGCTGAGGTGTTCTTTAACTGGATTTACTGAAGAAATTAAGAGCTGCACCTTTTTTCTTCATGCTTTAACTTTCACTCCATCCAAAATAAAATAAAATTACATCAGAAACAGCTTGGGGAGGAAGGAGAAGAAAGCGAGAATTAAACCCAGTCAACACTGGGAACTTAACTAAGCTAGCTAGTCACTCCAGATTCCCTCTGCAGTTCGAAAGAGCAGACCTGCATTACTGAGCACCTCTTAAAACTCAATTAAAATCACTGAGTACTGGGCAGTGTACTTCCAGTGTGACTGTGGCCTGCACAAGAAAAACACAAAATGCGTATCAAGGAAAGACAGCACCAACTAGGTATGAAAAATAACAAGTTATCATTATTTCACTTTGACAATATTATTTAAGGTATATTGTCTGCTTACTAACAATTGCTAGGTTTTAATGCAGAAGTGCATGACAGGCAAGTCCAAGATGCCAATTTAACACAAGGCATCCTAAGATGCAGTCTCAGAACAAACTATAGCTTGAGCTTCACCCAAAAAACCCACAAGCATCAGAATTGCTTTGCAAGAGCTGAAATTCCAGTCACAGTCTCACCTACTTTGCTAAACTTGTTTGTTGTTTTATGTAATTGTACACTGCTTCATCTGAAATTTTATTGAACATTACCCCAAAATATAGAACCCTCTCTCCCTGACTCTGTACACATTTATTTAACTGACAGCCAACCACAACCTTGGCAGCAGCCACCAGAGAGTAAGCATCTGTACCTAACAGCAATTCATGTTCGCAGCAGCTGTGAATTTCCAAAGGGCCTCCAGGAACACATAAAGCACATGGCTGTCAAATCAAGAATGTCACTACCATCCATTATCAAACCAGCGTTATGAGTCTGACAGTCATAACTGAACCCTGCCTGTTTGCTGGTATGCAAAAAGCAAACAAAAAGCTGATATTCAGTAAAGACTCTTCCAGCCAGGACGTTTTATGTAAGTCTGCCTTTCAAAGAACCTTTAAATACAGTTGTCTTTCAATTAAAGTCTTCATAACGTAAGCAAAGGGCACTCCTTTGAAGCAAGTAAGTAACCAGTCCCATAAATTCAACTATCTGTTGTGACACAAAGACATCTCAGAGCATAGAGATGTCACAGAATAAGGTCTAGGGCAGCCACAAAAGTTGGAGTTCATGTAAGAATTTAGCTGTGTTAGAAGAAGCAACCTGTTTGGACAAACCCCTCCAGACTGACTGCTTTTGAAAAGTATAAAGGCACCAACTCCCATAAACAAAACTAGTAGCGTGTAATTGATACGAACATGAACTACAATTGATATTTACCAGCTCCAGTCCAGCTAATACTTCATTTACTCCAGGGGGCTGGCCAATCCAGCGGATTACTCCATAGAAAGGAGGATTTTCTTTAACTTCAGCCAAGGAACCTGCTTCAAGACCATGTGAGTTCCCAACTGGGCCTGCTGTTGATGGACTCTCCTGGTTAGCCGTAGTATTTACATCACCAATGACTGACTGAACGGATAAAGAGAGAGGACTATGTCCAATAGTACCATTAGTAGTTGATGCTTTTGTCAAACTAAAAGGGAGGGAGTGAAATCTGTTTTCTGTAGACACAGAGTTTGTTAAAGGTGGCTGGAGTGGTGGAGAAGAATGTCCAAATCCAGGAGACGAATCAGTGAGTGATTTTGCAGGGTCTTCAGCAACTGTTAAAATCAAAACCAAGATGTCAGTAACTGCTGGGGTTTTTTTTCTCCCTCATCTTACAAAAGGAAAGACTTAGCTGTCAAACCAATGAAATGTATCTGCAACTACACCTGATTTAATGGGTGTCCTGTACAGGAAGCACCAACAGCTGGGGACACGCAGGAAGAGGTTTGTCACTTGGCACCACTGGAGAGACAGACCTGGCTGAGGAGACACCACTGTGGCCCTCCCCTTTTACCACAACCAAGGTAAACGAACAGCACAGGGAAAGGAGATGCAAGCCAGAAACTAGAGGAAGGTTTACCCCAAGGATTATGGCTGCAATGGGCAAAAGGAGGAAGAACTCATAGGTCAGTGTGACTGGGGAAAGGATTTGGTTCACAGCTTATACAGAGATGAGTAATTGCTTGCAGACGTGATTTGCAAATGGAAAAGTGTTTATTCCCATGGCTCTTTCACAATATACTTGGGTTCTAACAGAAGGAACCTATCACAGTCTATAAAGAATAAAGCATTTAAATAAGTTATGATTAATACAGTGCTTCATAAATGAGATTACAACTAGATATAATAGCGCAAAAGCTCTCTATCTTCTCTCATCTCTACATGGTCTCTGATACACAGTTGGTATTCACAGAGCAAAAGCCTCCTCTTCATCATCTCTTCTCCCCATGCTGTTTTATTAAGTTGATGACCAAAATTTTTAAAATATATGTATAAAATAATTTTTTTAGAAATTAGATCTGGAAGCAAATCAAGACGCACTGATCCTTTGGGAATCATAGAATCCCAGGTTGGAAGGGACCACAAGGATCATCCAGTCCAACCTCTCAAGGTAACAGTATCGTTTAAATGAGATGAGTCAGCACTCTGTCAAGCTGACTCTTAAAACTGACCAATATAGGGGAATTACATTAAATCTCCCATGGGAGATTGTTCCAATGTCTAATAGATCACATGGCAAAAAAACTTCTTCTGGAGCTCAATTGGAATCTCTCCAGAAGCAACTTGTGTCCATTACCCCTCATCCTTTCCATGCGACTCCTCATGAAAAGGGAGTCTCCATTGTCTTAGTAGCCACCCTTTATGTACTGGTACATGGTGATAAGGTCTCCCCTAAGCCTGCACTAAAAAATACTGAAAACACATTTATGCTTAGTCAAGACTATTTTTCCCCCCTACTTCCAGACTGATCAACTGGCATGGCAGAATATTACAGTTTCCTTAGATCTGTAACATTAGCTACAAAAACACAGGCAAAATAAAATTACATACTTGGCTACAAGGATATAGCCTACACAGACTTCCCTCCAAGCCTCAGCTTTTATTTAGCCTGCAAGACATACACAATCCTACAGAGCTGCACATACGTTGCCAAGAATGTAATCTCCTAGTATGTCTTCAAGGGGGCTCCAAGATGCTTTTTACGATATAGCATGCCTTCCACTAAGACAACATATTCCAACTGTTTTAAATTTAAACTCATACTTGTTTTATTTTAAGAATATCAATACATTCTGGTTTTGTTTGGTCTCTTTAAAAAGCGTATGCCTCCATGAAAGGCTATCATCTCTCCTTACCTTCATCAATATACCATGGGGGTTTTGCTTTCGTTTGAGGCTGAGAGTCAACTGATGAGCCATTTAATGTGTAGAAGACTTCAGATCTGTTTCTATTTCCAGGTTCAGAGGTAGATCCTGGAAAACAACATGTTTTACTGAAGAGATTAATCTCTGTTTACAGAACCTTACCTACACTCTTATTTCATAGTCTAAAGTTACTGTATTTTCAAGAAGACATAAATGCCTTTTCACAAAGCACCAAATCCTCCCAGCAAAGCAAACACAGTTCTAAGCTTGCAACAAGGCAGCAGTTTCTCTCAAACCAACTTAATCCTCCAAGCTGAAATTTCAAGTCACCAACCTGAAAGAGCGGCAGAAAATACTCAAGTGCAAAGTTTTCATTGCTATAAATTATGAGTATAAGCAAGCATTTCAGATACAGTTTATAGCAGGTATTTTTCTCTATTTTTAAAGAAAAAAAAAATCACAGTAGGCAAATAAATTA